ACCCTGTCTCAAAAAAAGTGGAACAGTGCCTTCAGAATAAACACCCAAAGTTGGCTTCTGGCCACTACATGCATACACAGACAATGCTTACACATGTGCAGCCACACCCACATGAACATACACACGTATAAAAAAATCCAAAACTAAAACATTATTTTTACCAAAAGAAGGAAGACAAAACACAACACACTATATGATTTTAAAATAATCAAATATGCAGAAACAAAAGGTAAGCTAGTGGTTACTTGGGATTAAGGGGGAGGAAGGACATAAACAGGGATGGAAAGGAGGTTGGCAAGTGCTAATGTATACACGCTTTCTTTTGGGGTTGGGGAAAATACTCTAAAATTGATTGCGATTGCATAAATCTGTGAATGTCATTAAATTATATTCTTTAAATAGGTGAATTGTAGGGCATACTAGTCATATGTTTATAAAGCTGGACCCAAAGGGCAAATGGAAACAGAAAGCAATGTGCTCAGATGTTTCATTACTAGTAATAAAGACATCTCAGCAAACAATTAAAGGTTGGGGGACAGGCACGGAACTGTTTTCAGTGATGAAATAGGAGGTAAAAACTGCCAAAGGACTAGAGGTGCAGGTCAGTGAAAGAATGGATGCTTAATAGCACAGGCCCTGGGCTCAATCCGCAGCACGTTGGGCGGGGGGGCGTATTATATTAAATTCCTGAATCAATAAAAATATTTAAAAAATAAACGAAAACCTGCCAAAATGAGATAGGAAAGACTACAGATTCTAAACACTGACTGCCCCATCTTTCTTGTTCCCTTCTCTTCAGGTCTGGGTAGGGCATCCTATTCTGGGAAGGATCTTATCTCCACCGCCTGCTGGATGCCTAGTCAGGAGCCAAAGAGTCACTGGAATTCTGCTACCCAGAAGCACTACAGTCTGGCCATAGCAGAGCAATGAAATGCAAAGGAGGAAGGAGGCTCAGTGGTTACCATGCCAACAGCTCATTCTCTACCCTGGACCTAAAAAGAATAGGAAACTCATGAATTGTGTGATTCATAAATTACAAAGAACATGTGTGCTTGAACTAAAATAGCTCAAAAGTGAGGGAAGGGAATGTAAAAACAATGCAGGAAACGAGCCCAGATCCCTAGGATATCATGGAACATTTCATTAGTTTGATTTCTGGGTGGCAAAATGCTTCTGCCCAGGAGTTCATCAAAACAAAGTATGTCCACCATCTCTCTCTCTCCACTAAAATCCGTTAAAGTCATCCAGAATGGATGAGCATTAATTCAGATTTCCTTTTTCCCTGCCTTACACGTTCTACTCCAGTTTTTTAAAGATAGCCCTTTAAATACCCTGTAATTTGATATTGTCTTTCAGTGCCACAGGAACACAAGCTTTACTGAGGTCAAGACTTTGATTCCCTTATCCACCCACAACCACTGTCTATAAGATAATGCAGTGATTACCATATTATCATCAAACTAACAGTTACAGAATTTTCATGTTCCAGGCCTTCAACTAAGGAATAGTTATTGTTATGCTCCAAGCTCTTGAAATCAAACGATCTGTTTCTAGAAATTAATTCTATAGAAATAATCATACTTGTAGACAAATATTTAACAGTTGCAATATGCATGCTATCAGCACTCTAGGCACCTGTTTTTATTAATCCTCTTAACAACCCAGCAAGACTGCTACTATTATTAGCCTCCTTTTATGGTCGACAAAAGTGAGGTCAGGGAGATTAATTAACTTGCCCAGGGCCACACAGTAAGTACTAGAACAAATATTTGAAACCAGAGTCTACGTTTGTGATCTGGACATTATGGTAATGAAAAGATAACAAATGCAGGTGATTTTTACTTATAAGGAAATGTTTTTCTTTTAAATAAACCAAAAGTGGATTATCATTTGTCGTTTGGTATTACAGAACAGTTGGTGACATAGATAAACTGTTCAACACAATACTAAGAGGAAAAAAATCAGGTTTAGAAATACTTTAAAGAGAAAGTAATTCTCTAAAGTTTGAACAACGGCTTCCACTAATATTAAAATTATAGGTGACTTTTTGAGCATCTGAAATTTCTAAATGTTTTGCTGTAATAAATATATTCTAGAGAAAGAGTAACAGAGAGACAGAAAAGGGGGAGAGAGATCCATGTCTAAAAATTTCCCAGTCAAATATAAACATATTGTAATCCATTAGAACAAAACAAAAAGTGAAAGAACAATATTGTTCATTTATATGTCAACAGTGTTTCCCAAAACACTATACATAACAAAGAGAGGGCTACCATAGACAAATAAGTGGAGGAAGCTTTTTGTCAGATAAGTTTATTGCAGGGCTTGTCAGCATATTTAAGATGCATATATGCATTTTCAAACCCATTTGAGTAAAAGAATCCATTTTCTCACAAAGCATTTGGAAGGAACTAGCATTCCTCAGAACAAACTTTGGCAAAACTGAATCCTAAAAGGAGAAAAGCCGCAAGAGTGTTGAAAACTAAATCTTAGTCAGGTCACGGCTCTTGGAGAAACAAAGTAATGAGCATGCAGGATGAGTTCGTTTTTTTTTTTTTAAGAGATGCTAGTAAAGGGTAGGGTGGGGAGAAGTCTGTGCATGTAGCTGTCCCCTAATTCTTTATTCGCCCTGTCAGTGGTCACTGGACTACTAGACAGGCGAACTCAGGCCTGGTGAGAGAACGGGACTCTTTTTTTTTTTAACTATTTTACTTATTATTTTTATTTTATGTGTATGAGTGTATTGCCTACATGTATGTGAGTGCATCCATGTCGTGCAATGCAAGAACTGGACTCTTAAGTCAGACAAAGGACAAAACCTAAAGCCCAAGGAACTGTATCTATAATGTCTAGGAAACACCACATGGAATTTTTAGTGATAAGAAATCTAGGCCCACATGCATGACCCTCAGCCTTGCCCAGTGCCTAAGGTAGCGTTTCTAGGAAATCTGGCAGGAGGTATAACAAAAATTGGGAGGGGATAAGATATATTCAATTCAATTTGGTTTTAACATCCAAGACCAGGCTCTTCAGAAAGGAGAAATGAGAAAATGAATAAAGAATCAGATAGAACTTCAAGGACAGGGAGATGGATCAGTAGGTACAGGTGCTTGCCATCCAAGCTTGACAACCTGAGCTTGTTCCCCAGAACCCATGTAAAGGCAGAAGAGAGA